TATATATATTTATTTATTTACTTATTTATTTTATTTAACTGCGCTCAAACATCCTCCATCCGCGTTCAGCTTATCCACTTAGGGGATAAGCTGAACGCGGATGGAGGATGTTTGAGCGCAGTTACGGCTAGAGTTCGTGTAGGATGGATGAAATTTAGGGAACTGGGTGGGGTATTGTGTGGAAAGAAATGGTCAGTGAAGATGAAAGGGAGGGTATATAAAGCATGTGTGAGAGCAGCGATGGTATATGGTGGTGAAACTTGGGTGTTGAGGAGAGAGGAGGAAAGTGTACTGCAGAGGGCTGAAAGAGCTATGGTGAGGATGATGTGTGGGGTTAAAGTGAATGATAGGAGGAGTAGTACAGAGCTGATGTCAATGATGGGACTGAATGAGGACATTGTGACATTGATAAGGAGATCGAGATTGCGATGGTATGGACATGTGTTGAGAAGGGATGAAAGGGTCGGGATTAGGCGAGCGTTGGAGTTCGAAGTTGAAGGAGTGGTAGGAAGGGGTCGTCCGCGATAGAGAGAGCAGGTGGAGAAGGACAGGGTGAAAGCGGGGTTGCGTGATACTGAGGCGAGTGACAGATGTGGATGGCGTCGAGGGGTATTTCGGTTTCATCATAGGTAACCAAACGGCAACCCCCGATCTCGGGGAAAATGTCGTCTAAACGTGTGTTGTTGTTGTTGTTTTATTTATTTTATTTATATTTATCGGGTATGTGAGATTTGTTTTTTTTTCAGGTATCCCGGTGAATGGCTGAATGAAGAAGTAAGATTGAAAAATTGAATAAGTTGCGCAGAGTAAAATAGAGGGCATAAAATAAGTTTGAAAAAATGATTTTAATGATAATATTTTCTTAAAAAAATGTATAAACAAACAAGTAGATAGAGAGAAATAAATATAAACGCTAATCATTTATTTGAATAAAACTGTGGGTTAGAACTCTAGTCTGGGGTTTATTATTATTTTTATTTATATGTATGTGTGTTTATATATTTATAATAAATACGTATTTAGAACTGACTGATTATGTCTTACTTTTTGACCTAAATAAATTATTGTTAAAGGGTAAGTGACGAATATACATGTTGCATATTTTTGTGACACTCGACACTTTGTGAAACATTGTTATTATTTTTCCTCTTTACCCTATTATCAACATTAAATTATTTCATGGATTTAACTCTGTTTTTTAGTTATGTGAATTGTTAGAAACATACCGTATTACACACACGTATGTATGTGTGCAATCGCACATGTGTGTAAATAAACGTATCAGTATGAATAATATTTATAATTTATATAATAAAATTATATATATATATAATTATATAATATATATATATATATATATATATATATATATATGTAAATGTTGGTAATGTATATGTATGTATGTATATTGGATTAAGACTGAAATCACAGCATGTTCGCATAAAAAACAAATACATAATTTATTTTAAACCAACAAAGAATTAACATTGTAGAGACACAGTATGTATCTAATTGAGCATTTGGCCAAATACACAACGTATCAATTCGAACACCGAAGATGGTATAGGAATACCAGAAAAAGCTTTTTTGTTCTATCATGCTTAAATGTTCTATCATGCTTAAAATAAATAAAAATTTTAGTTTTGAACTAAAGAAACTTCACAATGATTTACAATCTACCGTTTAAAAAATGGAAAAATTAAACAGGAAGCTAACTAACGCGGAACATGCTGTGATTTTCATTAATATTATATAAGCTAATATATATATGTATGTGTGTGTGTGGGGGGGGAGACCATATTTTGTACAGTATTATATGAACAATTCAGTAGAATTCATACAATACTGTATACACTGCATACATATATATATATATATATATATATATATATACTGTATGCATACATATATATATATATATATATATATATATATATATATATATATATATAATTGATTCATGTATGCAATCTTTGTAATATTCAAATACCTACATTAAACTTTTTTACATATCTAAATTAATGTGAAATTTATATTGAGGTTAATTATTATATAATAATTTATTATAATTATAAATTATTTAATTGATAATTATAATTAATTTAACAAATACTACATATGTACCGTGTGTCATTTTTAATTTTTTTACATGTTGCTTGTTTTTTTTTAACTGTGTGTTCCTTGTCCAATGTAAAACACTTGTGCTGCGTAGAAATAACATTTTCTCCAGTTTCTAATTTTTAGATGATGTTATTAGCTATTTCGTAATAAAATGTTGAGCTCGTTTAGTAGTTTGAAATGTCCGAATCCACAATCCAAGAACGACTAAGAAAGAATTGCTAAATACTAAATTGTTTCACCCTCTCACCCCGTATGAAAGAGAGAGAGAGAGAGAGAGAGAGAGAGAGAGAGAGAGAGAGAGAGAGAGAGAGAAAGTATTACTGATTTAGTTACAGTTTTATATTTAGTTTCAATGATTCGTTACGTTGGCATGTTAGTTGTTAATACTTTTCAGTTCTTTTGAATGACGAGGACAAGTTTTGTTTTAAAATGTGAACACGAAATAAATACATACATAAAATGAAACAACAAAACCAGTTTGATTTTGGGATTTGTATTTATTTAGCTATGTAGATCAATAAATAAAAAAAATTTATTTTATTTCTTAAGCAATATAATAAGCTGCTATTGCAATAAATATTTTAAAATATTTCAGTTTAAATGTTTAATTAATTAATTAATTAGTTGATTAATTGATTAATTATCATGACTTTTATCATTTTTATCTCATCATTTTTTGATACCTCTTTTTTGTATGAATTAAGCTTTTTTCATCGTAATAATATTGCTTGTGTTGTATTTGTTTGATTTTTTCTATTATTTATAACTAACATTTTAAAATGTGTTTCTGAGAAATAGGATTTTGTTTTGAACAATTTAACACATAATTTATTTTGCATAAGTTCCTTTAACGTTTAACTATTATTAAACACATGCAAATATTAAGCAATTGAATTGCAATAATGAATGCTTAAATTTGATTACTACTGTGTCAGAGTTATAAAAAAGTAATCCTTTTTCCAATACGTGAACTACACATACACACATACATATGAATGCACACACATATCTCTGTACAGTGGAAATATATCCTGTTATTAATGTAGCGAACTTAGAAAAATAATGTCTGTGAGAAAAAGTAGATAGAGCAAAAGCTGGCTATGCAAATGTTCCTCAGTAGGTAGGTAAATTTTTGTGGTTTGTACTAATCCTAGTTAGAATGTTCTGTTATTTTAAGCTATTTTTGTCGCAAGATATGAACGAATGTTCCAAATTTTCAAGAGATGTTTCTACCAAGGAATGTAAGCGAGAAACTAATCAAATTTCATCACAATGTTAATTTTAGTTGTTATTATTGTAATTGTTACTAAGACAAAAATTATCTGGACGTATTTTTAGAATTAATTCAGTTATCAAATACTGGCATTCATTTGTTTGATTTTGAAATTTCTTTGACAATTCAAGAATGGCGTGTTATGCGACTTTCCATTTAAATTGAGAATTATGTTATAACATGTGCGTGTTAGTGTTGTGATCAAGTGCATTATCTGGTTTTGTTTTTAATTATCTTAATGTTTATAGAGCTTTGACCTGTTTTTGTCTTCAACATTCTTTCAAATTTCTCATGATATTTTTATTCGTAGAAAACTAACAAATTTTATGTCAGCGTTTTTTTAAACTCTACATGTACATAATCGTTTTGAAGTTTGATGGGCAAACCACAAACAGGTCACAAAATTAATATAAAGGTCCTACCTTCACGATTGAAAGCAAAAAAGCAATAATAGTTTTTTCGAAGCATTGTCTTTATTCGCCTGCTCGAAAAGTTGTAAATTGTAAATTGAACTAGAAAATGAAAATGATTAACACCAGGCTTCCAGCAATCATTGAGAAATTTAATCGATTCTTTATTTAAAAAAACTGATCGTTTAGCTTAAAAATTGCCTCGCATTTACGTTTCTTCAATCAAAAATAGTGCAATGATTAACGGAGCCAGTCTGTGGTGACTGGATTCGAATGCGACAAGATCCGAGCTGGGCGCACGCAATGTTTGATGTTTCAAATGAATTTTTTGTCAACGTGGCCACCTCACGGTATTTCTAGTAAATTTGTCAACGAAATCAAAATAATTTAAATTGTTGTAATATGTAATCACTGCAGCCATATAGATAAAATACACAATACTTAAGAATATGAAATCTGTCTTTAATTCATTTAGCGTTTAACTGTCTGCTAGAAAAATGGATTATGTTGGTAATCCCCTTTTAAGCTATGTGTGTTAATAAAACAATACAACAATTTTCATTGCTAACTGAATAAATAAAGTAAATAAATAAATAAAATATACAAGAAAATTTTGATATTTATTTACCTTTATTTGAATTTAATTTAGTTTTTATTAAAACTCTGAATTGCATGGTGCTAGTCTTGTTTGTTGTTTTTGTTTTGTTTGTTTGTACTATTCAATAGTAACTATTGTGTTGTGTTGGTTTTGGCTGGGTTGTTATTGGATCTTTTAAAATTCAGTTTTAATTTCAACTGCTTATTACTGTTTATTTTCTTATCTCAGTCAGAGTAAAAGTTGTTAATTAACAAGCCAAGACACACCTAGTTATATTTTATTTAACTTTTATTTTAGTTAAATAAATTAAAATCCCAAGTCTTTTTCAGTATTGAGTATTCTATTCTAGTATTCTTATTAGCTTTTTGTTTTGTAGCATCTATTAAACTAATTAATAACTAAATAAACTTTTAGTAGAATTTTAGAAGTTTAGAATTTAGATTTAGATTTTGTTTGAATTATTAAACAAGTTAGTTAGCATATAATAAAAGCTGTTTACTTTATTATATAAGTATAAAATATTATATATTGATATTCCAGAGAATGGAGACATTACCAATCAAACCTGAAGTATGTAATCTATAATTTGTAGTGTAATATTAAATTATTAATGTTTAATTATTTTGGCTAAATTTATATTATTTTAAAACTTCATAGTATAATAATCTTAAAAAATGTTCTTGGCTTAAGATAGAAAGAGTTTACCAGAGATTAATTAAAAAGAATAAAACTAAAATAATAACGTACAAGTGACGCAAGACTATCTGAACAAGGGAAGTGTGAATTGCTAAGAACTAGATGATTTCATATATTAAAAATTTTAATTTGATTTTAAAATTGTTTGGTTAATTTACATTTGAATTTTAAATAAATTATTTTTTTATATTTATTTTTACAGAAAGAACCTTTGAGTTTTGAATTCAACAATTCGTCAGTTGATGAGAACATTGGAGAGGCCAGGAATGCTATTAAAAAATTTAGTTTTTACTTATTTCATTTTTTGCATTAAATCAATTGTTATGCTCAAATGTATTGGAAAAAAATATTAAGAAAAATTTAGTAATCAGTGATTAGAAACTTGTTGACTGTTTGCAGTTTTATTTAGATTTAGAGTATTTTAGTACTATATCTGAAACTTTAACCTCTCAATAATCCTATCAAATCTAATTCTATATATTGTATAATCAAATCATATAGTTTTATTTGTTTAGAAAATTGGCCATTAATATTTGAAATAAAAGAAGCTTGTTGCGTTTTTTTAGATATGATATTTGAATAATCATTACACTGAAAGCTTCAAATTATATTTTAGTGTAATTCTGTAGTTTATCCTTTTTAGTAATGTGGCCTCTACTATGTGGGATCACTCATCAGCTAATTCATTCATTTGTGTATTTATTTAAGCATTTAGATATTTATTGTTTTTACTTCTATTTTACAATTTTAGGCAGCTGAGAAGTTACTTTATCATTGGAAAAGTCTGCCCATAGTACTGCCACCATCAATCACAGATGACAACTTGGAAGCTGGAGATGGGGTAAAGATTTCTACTTCATTATTTTTTGATTTTGGTTTGGTTTAGTTTAATTTTGGTTTTGGTTCGGTTTGGTTATGATTTTGGTTTGCTGATTTGGCAGGATTTGATTATTTTCATAAATATTAAAATTAACTTTGGTACCATTTAATAAGCATTCTCATAGTTGTTTCATCTTCACATGTCATGTCCAATATGTTGAAATCAATTAAATACTGTCTTTACTTGTTTGGATAGTTCATGATATCATTTAAAGACCTTTTTGTGGCTCCAACTTTTGATGAGTTGGAGCAAGTCGCCAGAGATAGCAAGGGGAACATGAAGAAGTTGAACAGGAAACAATTGATGAACATCAGAAACATGGGGTTGGTTGGTGTTGAAAAGGTGATGATAATGTTAATGATTATTAATGATTGTTAGAGATGATTGATGGTGATGAAGATGGAGTTTGCTGAAGATGAAATAACATACTTACTTTTCACCAAAGTCCTAAAATTTAACATCTCATTGATATAAGTTGTTTATTTTTTTATTGTATAAAATAAATTGAAACATATCCTCCATGTTTTGTTTTGTTTTACAGTGAGTTTGAGGTTGAGAGTATAAACTTTCCAGGCCAAGCACACAAGTGGAGGTTGAACCTCTTGCTCCAGAAGGGCTTCTATAGGACACATGAATCTTTTCTTGATGTAATTCCTAAACTTTATTTTCCATTTTTATACATGTCATTTTAAAATTTTTTTAAGACATTTATACATTTCATTCATTTGAAAATTAGCTTTATATAATACTTTCTCAATATTTTTATATTTTGCTTTGAAGGATTTAGCACTGGCGCTAAAAATGTTGATCATATACTCAAAGAATCGATTTGAGTCACCGTTTTTTAGTTTGTCACAGAGTTACAGAAGCTTAAAGAAATCAGTTTATCATTTCTTAGGTAACTGATGTTTGTCTTTAAGTACTGGTACATACATTTTTGTTGTCCAATTTTGCTGTCGACTTGAATTTCGTTAAAAAACCAGTAAAAATTTTCAAGTTTAATCTGATTTATTTTATTTATGTAGACATCATAATTGGCATGCCATCTACGAAGCCAGATAGAATGGTTGAAAAATTGATGGAAGAACACTCAAAATTTTTAGTTGCTGAATTAATTATTAAAGTATATTTAATTTATTTTTATAATAATTCATTTAATTTATATTTATTTAATTATATCTAGTTTATTATATATCTTAATAATACATCTTTGTATTTTGATTGTATATTTTCAATAAAATAGTTCAACCTATTCAAACTTTTATAAAAAAATTTAATTTTTTTTAATTTTTTTTTCATAATATTTAAAATTTTTGAAATGATTAAAAACTTTTTAAAATTTATACACCAGTCTGAATCGAAACAGGATTGGAAAGAGTTCTGCTCATTCATAAAAAGCCGAATGAATGCAGTGCAGGCAAACAAGTTGATGCTAACTGTTAGTTACTTCATTGCATCTTCACCATCATCGTCTTCATCATCAACTTCATCGTCATCCTTATCATCATCTTCATCATCAACTTCATCTTCATCGTCATCTTCATCATCATCTTCATCATCAACTTTACCTTCATCATTATCATATCTTCGTCATCATCATCTTCTTCCTCACGATCGTCTTCTTTTTCATCGTGTTTTGTTCATCTAGATTTTTAGCATCATTAGTTTTTGTATGGTTTCTACTAATGAGATATTAATAAAATACATAAATAACGAAAATTGTACTGCTGGTAATTATAATTATGAATAATAAAAATAAATAAATAATATTAAAAGCATAATTTTACATTTCGTCATGATTAATGTTTGAGAAGCAGTCAGCAGATTTCGAGCCGCCCCCACACCCATATAAATTCTCAACCCCTAACAAAACTGAAATTGACCTAAGGCAGTTTAACAAAAGTTTGAAAATATTTTTTAGTTATTTGTTTCTGTTTATTTTTATTTATTTATTTAATTATTCATTTGTTTCTTTGCACATTTGTTTATTTATTTTTTAATCCATTTATAAATAAATTATAATGAATAATATAAATAATAATAAATTTTAATGTTGACGTAAATAATAAAATCATGACACAATTTTCAACAAACATACGAAATATTAATAATTAAATGTGAATTTAAATAAAAAAATCACTTGCAAACAGTTATTATGAATCAAAGCTATGAGATTTTGTCGACGATATTAAAGCAGGAGTCCAGGGGCTGGTACATCAAATACAAGGATAAGATTATTACTGATCTTAAGGGTATACTCTCGTTACTGTTGCTAAAATGGCTTGTGATTCAATTGATACCTCTCTTGCCATTGTCTTTATTGTTATGTCGTCTTTAATGCTTATGATGTTTCGGATATAGTTTATGATTTTTATATTGCCGCTTGATTTTAATCTATTGATTTGTGTTGTTTGAAAGTAAGTAGTTATTGTAATATACCATCGAATGATTCTTCAGTCGTTAATTTGTGATTTCAAATTACAGATAGAAACATGACTTACACTGAGATAAAAGAGGTAGTTTGCAATAATTGGTTATATGTCAATATCTTTCTCTTTTTTTTTTCATTTATTTCCGCTCTGACTGTTTATATAAATTTGTTACTGTAGCATGTCTGTCAGTGCATCCAAGAGAAATATTATGAGAAAGTTTTCCATGCAATTTTGTGCAGTTCAGAACTGGAGGCAATACAGCCTGGATTGGGTTGGTTGGTCTGTTCTGCGATGTTCTTCCCATTTCACATCCACCTTCTATCTTTTTTTAGTGCGATTTTATCTAAGTGATTCATTGCTCAAAGTTTGTTTGTAATTGATTGTATCATCCTTTGTGATACACATTTTGGTGTTCGAGCTGTCCTATCATATTTGCATTCATTTGATCATTTGTTCATTGTTTTATTTGTTTTAAGGTTGATTTAAAATGTGGCTAATAAAAATATAGACGATAATAGGAGTGATATTAAGTCATTGATTGACAGGTTTGTTGCTGGTGAATCAGGCTAAGTGTGCTCTGAACACAAATAAAAATCTAACAGCTCTGAAAGAGAAGTTTGAAATATGCAAAGACGAGGTTAACTGAATTATTCATTCTTTACTTATTTTTCTGTTAAAATTTATATTGCTTACTTGAAAAACAAACAAGATGACATTGGTACTTTAATTCTGAACATGTCAACACTTTCCAATACGCAGTACACAGCAAATCTAACAAAGCAATATCCCGTGAGGTCGAGAATTGACGAGTGGCTCAAGGCTCAACTCTCCATATTTTGGGTATGTGGTTTTGGCTGCTCATGTGGATGTTGCAAC